ACTGTCAAATAAGGCTGTGTCTCCCTGACTCAAACTGATACTGAACCAGAAACAGTTCTCACTGTCCTCTTCTGGATTCCTGAAGCCGCCTACTTCTCTGGTGATGGCTTTAACTCACAGAATACATCTCAAATGAAATGATGCTGTGATATTCTTTCCCCAAATTGCCGTGAGTCACTGTGATTAACTTCCTGTCTGATCAATATGGAATGGCCTCAGGACAAATATAATGATAGATGAGGATACAATCAGATTTAATCAAGTTAGGAGTTCTTCCTAAATGGTTTCATTATGTGACTGGTGATAAATCAACATATTCTGAAAAATTAAGATGAAACACGGTCTCTGGAGCCATGTTTACTTCCTAAGGGATGCATCCTTGTCGAGTTCAGTGCTTAAACTTACCAAAGAGCCACAGAGTATTTCATTTCCCACTCCTATTTTTTTTTAAGCTTGCTTCACGAAAACATACACAATGTACTTGCAAAAAAGTATGCTATATTTGCTCAGTAAAACCGGACAGTTTGGTTTTGTGATATAAATGTAAATAAAACAGAAAAAAATACTTCTTTTTTAAATATTTTACTTATGCACATGAACCAGACTTAAATGATTCTGACCTATCTGACATTGTTTCGTGTTCTGGATGACTTCTATTTTTACCACTAAAAGAAATGTTTTTCACTTTTAAAGACATGAAATTAAAACTCACAATTATATACATTCATACATATATATGGCAAATATCATTGTCACAAACACACACACACATACACTTGCCAAAAATATTTTTGCCAGTATATTTGCCAAAGGTATGTGCATGATGAGCATAGTCCACAGCAGCTATGGCATTGCTGTCCTAACAGGGAAATCGCCTGCTCCATTCTGTCAGTGGGCATACACACCACTATAGAGTCATGTTCAAAGAAATGGAGAAGTCCGTAATCATCCCCACTGGTGTCATACTGAGTTGTTTAAAAACCAGCTCATAATTGATACCAAGCGCTGGGCACCCATTAAAATACGACGTGATTGAAGAAACAAAGTACACTTGAAACCTTTGAAAGAAAAAAAAAAGCTACCTGATTTTAAGACTTGGTCTAAAGCTCATTAATTGAGGCACTGTCATATTGGTGTGAAAGGACTCTAGAATACAGAGCCCAGAAATGGACCGCCACGATTATGATCAATTGATTTTTGATAAAATTGTCAAGTCTGTAAAGTAGAGAAGGGCTCGTCTTTTAAAAACTGGTGTTGGAATAATTGGATGTCTGCTTGCAAAAACATGAACCTTGGCCTATACTTCACATCTTACACAGACGTAAAGTTATAATGGATCATAAGCCTAAATGTAACACATTAAACCATAAAATAATAGGAAAAAAAGACAGTAGAAAATGTTTGTGCCCCGGGGTTAGAGGAGAAGTTTTTAGATATCATACTGAAACCATAATCCACAAAAGAAAAAAAAAAAAGATAAATTGGAGTCTGTAGAAACTTAAAACTTGTGCTTTGTAAAAGTTATTATTTAAGAGTGAAAAATGCATGTCATAGATATTTATAAATTATATTTTCAACGAACACTTTTTATCCAGAATACATAAGTAATATTCTCCATAATAAAGTAACACCCCAACTTTACAAATAAACAGAGATAGATATTTCACTAAAGAAAATCTATGGATTGCAGGTACTTATATAAAAAGACTCTCAACCTTCATCAGTAGGGAAATGAAAATTGAAATCACAGAGCTTCCATTGCACAACTTTCATATATTTATTTTTTAATTTTTTAAAACATTTATTTATTTTGGAGAGACAGAGAGACAGAGCATGACCAGAGGAGGGCAGAAAGAGAAGGAGAGACAGAATCCGAAGCAGGCTCCAGGACTCCGAGCTGTCAGCCTAGAGCCTGACACGGAGCTCGAACTCACAAACCATGAAATCGTGACCTGAGCCAAAGTCAGCCACTTAACCAACTGAGCCACTCAGGCGCCCCATTGCACAACTCTTAGACTGGTTCATCATTTTTTTTTTTTTTTAATTTTTTTAAATGTTTTATTTATTTCTAGGAGAGAGAGAGAGAGAGAGACAGCATGAGCAGGGGGAGGGTCAGAGAGAGAGGGAGTCACAGACTCTGAAACAGGCTCCAGGCTCTGAGCTGGCAGTCAGCACAGAGCCCGATGCGGGGCTCGAACCTACGAACCGCGAGATCATGACCCAAGCGAAAGTCGGACGCTTAACCGACTAAGCCACCCAGGCGCCCCCATCATTTTTTTTTTTTGAAAGGGAAAAATGCTTGACAATTCCAGGTGCTAGCAAGTACATGAAGCTACTTAAATTCTCCCATGTTGCTGGTAGAGATGCAAAGTTGTAGAGGCAGTACAGAGAGCAGCTTGAATGTCTCTCATAAGCATGCACACGCCATGTGGCCAGACATCTTGCTGCTATGTATTCAGCCAAAAGAAATGAAAAGTTGTGTTTGCAGAAAGCCTGTGTGTGAATGTTTACAGAAGCTCTATTTCTAGCACCAAATTAGTGGGAACAAGCCAGGTCTCATTCACGTGGCTAATGGATAAACAGTCAGTGGTGTGTCTACAAATGAATTACAGCTTAGCCATTTACAAAGGAAAAGAAAGATCTGGGGAACCCTGTAGAGCCAGAAAGTGAGGAAGTACTTTAAGAACAACAAAAAACAGGATGTAAATATGTGGAAAGGGCACAAAAGCAGTGCTTCATGGCCAAAGGTGAATGATTTGTGCAATTTAAGTAATAATAATACTGGATTATAATCCAAAGAATACTGTAAATATTTTTGAGTCTAAATGGATATGAAAATAGTTGTAAGAATAAATTAATGGGAGAGAATGGACAATTCTTCATTATAGAAGGAATCCAAAGAATAAATGTAGAAGGAACAGAGGACACAAAAACATCTCCATGAAAACACCACCATAGTTCCTGGGGGCACCTACGTGGCTCGTCGGTTAAGTGCTCGACTTTGGCTCACGTCATGATCTTCCGGTTCACAAGTTCGAGCGCCACGTCGGGCTCTGTGCTGACAACTCAGAGCCTTGGGCCTGCTTCAGATCCTCTGTCTCCTGCTTTCTCTGCTCCTCCCCCACCTGCTTTCTGTCTCTCTCTCTCAAAAATAAACATTAAGAAAAGAAGAACACCGTAGTAATTCCTGCAGCAGGTAAGATCCACAAATGGATGCTAAGGTTAACAGGATAAAGAGTGTATTTGCATAATTTCAAAGTATTTTCCACAAAACAAATGTTAATTACAAGGAAAAAAACATAGCAACTCTACAGTAGAAGAATATGGCACATATTTAACCGAGTGATGAAATTTAGCCTCAGCAGAATATGATCTATCGACCTCACGCACCTCTGGAGAAGGTGCACTTGGGCACTTTGCCTCCGTGACATTCTGTCCAGTAATGGGTACCCTCAGTCGCATTATGAGAGAATAGATGACAAAGCCAAATTAAGAGAACTTTTATAAAATCATTGACCAGTACTCTTTAGAAGCCTCAAGGTTATGAAGGAGAAGGAAAGACTGAGGAGCCATCACAGAGCAGAAGAGAGTAAGGAAACATGAGGTAACAAGCATAGAGGACCCTGGACTAGATCCTGGTGCAGGAAAGAAAATTAATGGAGGAGCTGGTGAGATCCCCATAGAGTCTCAGGTTTAGTGCCTAGGAATGTACCCATGCTAACTTCTTAGTTTTGGTGACGGGGCTGTGGTTCTGTAAGGTGTTGGCTTTAGCAAAGTCTACATCACTGTTCAAACACTCTCCTACTTATGTAACTCTTCTGTACATCTAATTTTTTTTTAATTTAAAAGAAGATTGAAAGTATTCATAATCTTTAAATTAGTATTTCCTTTTCTAGGAGTCTCTTCAAAATCAATAGTCAAGAAGATTCTGGGGCACCAAAGTGGCTTAGCTGGTTAAGCATCCAACTCTTTGTTTCTGCTCAGGTCATGATCTCATGGTTTGTGGGATTGAGCCCCACATTGGGCTCTGCACTGACAGTGTGGAGCCTGCTTCGGATTCTCTCTTGCTCTGCACCTCCCTCACTCATGCTCAATCATTCTTTCTCTCAAATAAATAAATAAACAAACATTGATATAAAAGTATTATGATCCAGAAGGAGAATTACTAGAAAATACTGCAGGTGTGTGATCAGCCACATAACAAGACAATTCACAAAGACGCTGTGGGAACCAAGAGAAAAGGAAAGTGAAAGTTGTGAGAGACATTGTTACAGTTCATGGTGCCAAATAGAAGGAAGTGTCTCACCTTCACCAAGATTCACCCCAGGATTTCATAGAGCTTTGCTTCGTAAATCAGCCAGCTGCCTTTAACAGGGCAACATACAGTTAGAACAGAGTTGATTTTGTAAAGAAACCAACAAAAAGTCCTGAAAAGAAAGAAGAATCAAAAGCAGGTCTGAAAAAGAAAGCATTTCTGGGGAAGAGATCACAGATCCAAGGAGGAACAATCCTCTCTGAGAAAGAACATATCCAGTTGTGGGTGCTGGAGTTTCCTCTTAGGCCGCAGATCTTGACATTTGACCTAAGTGAACTTCAGATGTGACATATTTGCTTTCCTTTTATAGCTTTGCTAAATGCAAATCTATGTGTCCTGCTATGTCACTAGTTTGTTAGATGAAACTATAAAGAAGCATGTTGAAACAGAACTGCTCTCCAGAACAATAAGCGTGAGTTCCATTTTGTATTGCTGCTAACATCTCCTAACTGTGTCCCTTTCAGGCCATTGTTTCCATTCCCAGCTAAGAAAGTGCAGCCAAAAAGGATACTCTGAAAGTTACCCCGAGACTGTGAAATTTGGATCCTGATTTCCAAAATGCCTATATGTGGTCCTATTGTACAGCTTTGGTGAGGCTAGAAGGCTGCCGCTCAAAATACCAATGAACCTCTATTATTTACTGCAGCTGTGGGCTCCCATTGTGCCTGCAGTCATGAGCGAGCAAGGCGAAGGTGGCAGCTGGGAAGATTTCCGTGTCCAGAGAGAGGTGAGACTGATTGCGTCTTTGAAACATAGCTTAGAACAAGAAACAAGCAGTCGACAGGCCTGGTTGCAGCTATTTATAAATCTGAAATATCTGGGTATAGCAGGAATGAAACCAAGGTGACTACAGTCAATAATACATTGATGGCGACATTGATATATAAAGCAGAGAGAGAGAGAGAGAGAGAGGACTTAGGCCTCAGTTTATGGCACAGGTCTCCTAAAATCCTTGGAATTTGCTGGGTAATAAGAAAGTCTTTTGCATGCTACTGAGGTGGCTGGTGACTGGAGTCTCCCAATAGGTTCTAGATGGTGGCTGGTGGCCAGGAAGACCAAGCCATGATTGGAGGGTTGTAACTTTCAGCTCCTCAGTCTACAAACCCCAGTCTTTGGAGAGAAGACCTGGGGATGGAGTTCAATCACCAATGGCCAATGATTGAATTAACTATGTTTATATAATGAAACCTACATAAAAACCCATTTGCAGTGTGGTTAGAGGAGCACCCTAGTTGGGACGCACATCAGCGTGCTGGAAAGTGTGTGCACACCATGAGGAGGAATGGACGCTGGGCACAACCCTCCCCCACCGACTACCTTCACCTATGTTTCTCTTCCATTTAGGTGTTCCTGATGTGTCTGTTGAAATAAACTAGTAACCGTAAGTAAACATGAGTTCTGTGAATCATTCTAGTAAATTGTTAGCCTGAGGAAGGGCTTGTGGGAACCCCACGTGATCAGGAATACGGTGGCCCTCTCTCTCGGGACTTATGAGTGTGTCAGAAGTGGGAGCACCGTTATGGAACTGAGTCCTTGACCTATGGGGTCTGCACTAACTTGAAGAATTACTGTCAGAACTTAATCAAATTTGTGGACACACAACTGGTATTGGGAAATCTGAGAAAGTGCGTATCTCTTTCTTAATCTGACTACCTGGATTTTAGGCTGTTCTGTTAGTGGAAGGAGGGGGAAAAGGATTTACTGCTTAAAGGAAGCAGTAGATTTACAATTCATACTTGTGGGAATATCAGTGAGAACGTGGATTGGTATACCCACTTCCACCATCACCAAAAGAGCCAGGAATCACCTTGTCCCCCCCCCCCCCCTTCCTTTCCCTCTTGCCACAGGGCTCACGTGGCCAGAGACCAGCATCTGCCTTGTTGAAGCCTTGGAGCACTATGCACATTGCAAGATGCAGACTTCAGTTATCTGTGAGAGGAAAGGAGAAAGAATCTAAGGGAATGGGATTTTTCTCTGGAAGAACTGACGTTTTTCTCACAGACAGAGGTAAAGATTCAGAACTCGAGGTGAAGATTGAAGACACATGAACTTAAAGTAAGAGGAGCTAGATTAGGAATCAAACAAGTGTTCTCAGAGAAAGCCCGTTAGAGAGTCCATTGTCTTCAAGTGTCTTCTTCCTTGAAATTCAAAACAAGTTCACATTAGAGTCTGAATTTTCTTTTTCTCTTTATAGCAAAGCTCCTTAATCCTTTTCATATTATCTTGAGCTCTCTGTGGAGAAACTCTGACTACTTAACTCGATTATAAATTGTAGGTGAGGAACACTGTCCATGGTGAAGCCTAGAAAGGATAAATAGACTCGGGATACTCAAAAAAGGAAGGTACCAGAGATAAAGAAAAGGGCATTCTGCTGACACCGGATGCCTTTGGCCGTGGTCCTCTCACAGGGGAAGAGAGAGCACGTAGGGGTCTCTGTGTTATACTTGTTGTTCATGCTTCGCTGATGCACTTCACAGTGTTTATTCGGGGTTATTTCTCCGGTTACAAAGGGCCAGTCCTGAAAGGGAATTTGGGACTTGACATTCTAGGTATTAGGTAGGATCCGTGCTTTGAGTATTTATATATATGTAATGTATATATGTACATAAATATATATGTATTATATAGGTGTGTGTGTGTCTCTGTGTGTGTTAAGTGTTTGAATCCATTTTCTCTGAACATATTCGGGGACCACAAGAGGAGTCAAGAGTTCCTATGTATGCAAAGTGAGGTTGGAGGGGAGTGTGTATATGTGTGCTTGTGTTATGTGCCTCTGTGTGTGTTGAGCCACGCATCTCCATATTTTAGTCCTTGATGATAAATTTTACTTTGACATTTGAGACAATGGATGTAGGATAGATTGTAATAAATGGGTTGATCTCTAATAAGTTCAGTTCTAAATTATGGAATATTCAGATAGTCTTGCTCTTGGTGGCAAAGTGGGGAAATGATAGCAAGTTGAGCATTCTGTAAAAATTGATTCTGATGTGCATGTTTTAGCTTCCTAAACTCTGACACATTATGAGGGCCAAGGCTGCACCGTATATACTTTTTATATTTTTGTTATCTACCCACAATACTAAGCATGTAATAAGCCCACATATAATAAATTAATAAGTGGCCTGAGTTAGGGGCACCTGTGTGACTCAGTTGGTTGAGCTGAAGGTCTGACTTCGGCTCAGGTTGTGATCTCACAGTTCAGGGGTTTGAGCCCCGCATTGGGCTCACTGCTGTCAGCCCAGAGCTTACTTCGGATCCTCAGATCCCCTGTCTCCCTCTCTCTGTCCCTTCCCTGCTCATGCTCTCTTTCTCTCAAAAATAAATAAATGTTTTTTTAAAAAGGCACCTGAGTTAATAATAGGTATTATATAAATAGAAGACTCAGATATTCAACATTTTGCCAATGATGAATGAGGCTTTTAAAAGAACGTGGAGAATATTTGTTAGAAAATCTGGGTTTACGACTAATTGGATGCATAAATTTGTTTGTGTTTAAAATTGAAATTGGGCTAATAAAAGTAGTACAATTCATGTTCAGTTTGGTCCCAAAATTTGCATTATCTGATAAGCAATAGAAAGAGTGGAGTCTAAATTAAATATGAAGATAAAGTAAAGATTTACGGTTTAATTTTAATGAGGGAGTCAGTAGTGTCTGAAGAAACCTAGACTATTACTTATTTCCTAGAACAGGATCCTCACTGAGCCTGTCCTTCCTCAAGAATAAGAGCCTGTTGTCTATAGACACACGACTTGCACTTGAACTTCACATCTGCCACTGACTATCTGTATGATGTTAGACAAGTTTCCTAAACTTTCTGCGCCTCAGTTTACCCTCCATACATGGGGGTAATAATAGAAGCTACCTCTTAGTATACTTGTGATGATTAATGGGTTGGTCAGTGGATTAATACATGCACATGCTAAGTGTGTAGAGATGGACTAGCACAGATTAATTCATCAAAAACGTTATTTGTGATGTGAAGATTATACTCATTTCCTGTTGCTTCTGTAGCAAAAAGTTAGAGGCTTAATACAAGACCATTTTATTATTGGACTACGTAACTTTGGTGTCTTGCAATATTACCTTTTTATCTGTCTGGAGGCTACACGTTTGGGGCAGGTCTCACAAGGCTAACATTAAGGTGCCGTTGATGGTGTTCTTCTCTGTAGGCTCCGGAGGAGAATCTATTTCTCTGCTCTTTGGTTTTGTTGCCAGAATTCACTTCCTTGTGGATGTTGGATCTAGGTCTCTGTGTTCTTGTTGGCTGTGAGCCAAGGGCCGTTTCCAGTTTCTCCTCATTCTTTGGCGCCCGGCCGCCCTCTTCCATCTTCAGAACTGATGCAGGCGGATGAGACCCTTGCCCTCTGGGTCCTGTCTTCTGCTCCTTTCATGGCTGGAATCCCAGCTGGGAAAGGGTCTTCACGTGCAAAGTTTCATGTGATCGACGACAAGGAGCCTGCCCAGGTGATCCAGGATCACCTTCCCCACTGGGAGGCCAAGCCTTTAACCGCATTCCTGTGTTGTTTAAGGTAACATAGCCCCAGGCCTGGGGGCCGCTGTCTGGAAACCTTTCCAGCATTGAGGGACCATTATTCTTCTGCTCTGGTGCTGATGGCCTGACAGTTGAGAGCAAAGTCTCAGAGTCAGAAATCATTGCAGTTGTCAGGTGATCGGCAAGGGGAGTTTTCAGTTTCTTGTATATTTTTCAAAGTGGGAAGGAGGAAGTGAGCAGCTACCCTGGGGCTTCTGTTCCAGGGTGTGTTTGTAACATCTGCTGCTGGGACATTATTGTTGTGAGCTAACAGAGGCAAAATGAAAAACAAAATATGTATGGGAGGACTCATTGCTTCGGGTCACATAGGCTGATAAATAAAGCATGTTCAATCTGATTTTTGTAATGGAAAGTGGTGGTCTAGGCACTTGGCATTCTAGCTCTGTACTTGGTGAGTGGTCAGCATTGCTTAGGAGGCAGACTTGCAAGGGGACTCCACTCTGGCCGTATTTAAATGTTATCTTACGTATAACATCCTCAGTAGGGCTTATTTTTCTTTCAAAAGACGGGAAATATTTTCCCATAGTTAGTATATTTGGAAGCCTTTTTTAGTGTTTATTTATTTTCAAGAGAGAGAGAGACAGAGACAGAGCATAAGCAGGGGAGGGGCAGAGACAGGGGGAGACACAGAATCTGAAACAGGCTCCAGGCTCGGAGCTGTCAGCACAGAGCCCGATGCGGGGCTCGAACCCACAAACCATGAGATCATGACCTGAGCCAAAGTCAGATTCTTAACCAACTGAGCCCCCCAGGTACCCCTTGAAGCTTTTGTACTAGTGGACACAGCCAATGCCTTCTGTCATCAGTAGAATAATAATTATTATCAGTGTTGCATATCCGACCCGGGTGGAATGTGTGCTAGGCACTGTGCTAAGGACTTTAGGAGTATTGTGTCACTGAGCCTTTGTGACAACGCTTATGAGGAAGGCACAGGAATTATGAAGAGACAGACTCAGGACAGTTACTGTAGTACCTGTTACGTTTCCCGGCTCTGTTGTTTCACCACATGTCTCCCTCCTTACCATGTCCTACCGCCAGTGTAAGTGAGGTTATCAATGTGGAGCACGATGCTACGGTACATTCACAGGTGGTTTCTATTTGGAAGTGGACGAGGAGGACGCCGGGGGGAATCTGAGCGTGAGATGGGCGTGTCTAGATGCGCCCTAGGTGTGACAGGCATTGCTTCCCTGCGCGTGTCCTTTTCATGAGAAACCGCCTCACTTCCCAAAGCCTCGGCTGGCTTTCTTATACAACTCATCTCCCTCTCTCCTCTGACCCCCACATAAATAATTGGAGCAGGTAGAGAATCCCTGGACTCCAAAATAACCGGTCCATGAACTGGTCTGAGTCAATTGGATTATTTTTTGAGACTCTGAGTTGAGTCATTTGGGAGCTGAGCTACATTAAGGAATCATCAGAATAAGGATCTAGTGTGAGGACCCGTATGGACTAGGGAGATCTGTGCCTCTTGGAAATGGCATTTGAAGTAGGTTTCTTTTCCGAAACTAAAGAGACTGGGAAAGACAAATACCAAAGAGAATAAGGGTTTCTACAGAGCGGGAGAGTGAGAACGTGCTGTTTTTGTGAAAGGATAAGAGCCCCTGATGAGCGGGAATTCTGTCCTATTGGTGAGAACCTCCCGGTCACGGCGGGGGTGGGGGGGGGTGAGTCTTCGAGCTGCCACTGCCTGATTAAAATATCCTGCAAAGCCTTCAAAATTCCCTTAGTGTTATTTTTGCATTCTCTGAGCAACACTCTGATTTTAATTTGCTTTCCCACAGAGGCCTAACAGGTGGTGAGTATGGGCGACAGGAATATTCCTCACAGTGAATTAATAAATCTTCATTCTGACTGGTAAATCAATGTCTCATCAGGAGGGTCAGAGAGAATCTTAAGGTTTGGTCACCTCCAGATGAACAAATGGTTATGAACACTGAACCCCGAGGGGCGCCTGGGTGGCTCAGTGGGTTAGGCGTCTGGCTTCGGCTCAGGTCATGATCTCATGTTTTGTGGGTTTGAGCCCCACATCAGGTTCACTGCTATCCGTGTAGAGCCCACTTTGGATCCTCTGCCCCCCACTCTGCTCCCCCCTCACTCATACACAGGCTCGCTCGGCTTGCTCTCTTTCAAAAATAAATAAACATTAAACAAAAGAAGAAGAACCTAAACACCTTGAGGAGATGAATGGCCAGATCCAGTCCACCTCCTTGGAGACCTGAGCTGACTACCAGCCAGCCACGCACTCCTTTGGTCACGAATCGACTCAGCAAATAACTGGTGGGTGCTTCCTGCTCTAGATGTCACACACCGTGTTGTAAGCAAGGAGACGTGCACGCGGGCCTCAGAGAATTTACATTTTAGAAAAAGGAAACAGCCAGCGATTTGTAAAAGTAAAGAAATAGATACAGAGACAAGCACATAAATAATTAGGAGAAGTGTCAGTGGTAGGTGCTGTCAAGGAAATTAAAACCGGGTGACACGTCAAGGGTGACTGGGTGGCAGCTTCCTCAGAGGCAGAATCCAGAACTGGTTAAAGTCTTGACCTTCAGACACAGGACCACACTTATTTCTGTGACCTTAGGCAGTTGTCATAGCCTCTCTGTGCCTCCGTCTCTTCCTCTGCAAGTGAGGTTAAAAACCATAGGATCTCCTTGTAGGTTTGTTACTAATAGGATTGAGCTCATGGAAGGAAAGCATTTATAACTGTGCTAGGCTGGTGGTAAGCGCTGTGGAAGTGTGGGTTGTTACAGTTGTGCCTATTTTTTTTTTTTTAATATTTTTATTTATTTCTAGGAGAGAGAGAGAGAGAGAGAGAGACAGCGTGAGCAGGGGAGGGTCAGAGAGAGAGGGAGTCACAGACTCTGAAACAGGCTCCAGGCTCTGAGCTGGCAGTCAGCACAGAGCCCGACGCGGGGCTCGAACCACGAACCGCGAGATCATGACCTAAGCGAAAGTCGGACGCTTAACCGACTAAGCCACCCAGGCGCCCCCAGTTGTGCCTATTTTTATTTAAAGACATTTAGTTGACTGGACACACGAAGCCCCCCCCCCCCCCCCAATAAATAAGTAAACCCATTTGGTGGAGATTTGAATGAACAGAAGGACTGCCCATATGAGTCTTGCAGGACATTTCAAGCTGAGGAGAAAGTTTGTATCAAGGCCCAAAGACAGAAATGCAAGTGGCCTTGTTGGGATGGGATGGAAGGCCTGGGTGGCCAGAGTGTGGGCGAGGAGGGAGTGGTGGGCTCAGAGAGAGCCCCCCGTGCGGTAGGCCAGGCTGGGCCAGTAAGGGCCCCTATGCAGTGGGTGGGATCTGCTCTGAAAACAATTATACTTGTGTTGCTTGGAGACTAGATAGAGAGGGTTGTAAACGGGTTAGAAGAACAAAGAGACCAGTCAGGACACTGGGTCAATAACCTGGACGCGTTGTGCCCACTTCAGAACCAAGATGAGTGGTGAATACAGAAAAACAGGGAAATACAGAAACACAGAATCTCGTCCTCATGGAGCATTCATTACGTCGTAGATCTTCACTCTGGGCAAAAAAGCTGTCCCTTGGGGATCCTCACCCCGTCCCCTGGGGCTCATCCCAAAACTATCAGTGGTATTTGTGGGACACCCAGGGCTGTTGTTTATCTCTCTCTCACAGATGCTCAGAGCATAGGGACAGCATTCTTCCCATTTGGAATAATCCTTCATCATCCCTACAATTTGTAAAAAGATTGATGAGGTATCAGTTCCAGGTTTTGTCGCACCAGTCACTGAGGTAATGTATCAAAATGTGCCCATTTCCATATGGATCAAGAGTCGGCTCTGTGTGGAAAGTGTGTCATTATTGATATGAGATGGGAGTTGGCAGGCTTTCTACTCTGTGGCTCCTCTGTCTTTCTTGAGTGCTCTTGGTTAAATTTCCATAGTTACAAAGATTTCTAACTAAACAAGGTCAAATTGGCATAGATTTCTTTAGGTTTGTTTAACAGTCAGTCAGGTGATTTTGTTTCAAACTTAGAACCTAGTCTCATTCCATTTTTCATTTCTAAAATTGGTCTGACATCAAAAACCAGAGTTTTCAAACTCTTGACCTGTCTGTTTGATCTCTTTTGATCCTACAAGTGACAACTCAGCTCTCAAACTGTTCATTCAACTCTGGTGGTTTCCTTTCCACTCATACCAATTAATTAATTAATTAAAATAAGGAAGGGTGAGATATTGATTCACTCTTTTCTTCTAATAAAATAATTGTGAAGTAGCCTATTTTTTGTGTGTCCCTAATTATTTCTGGGGCTTATTTTTCTGCTCAGGGCAATTTTAGAGAGTCTGAACATTTACCAAAAGATTGTTTAAATATTTTCTAATATATAAGAGGAGACTGTGTCTGAAACACACTCTTCTCTCCAGAGAGATGTTGGGTAAGCTGGAAAATGCCAAAGCTGTCTTGTCTGCCTGAACTCTCTTCTTCGCACGGACCTCACAGGTTCTAAAATATACAATTACAGATTAATTGATGTATTTATCTAGCTTTTGAGGTTTTCTTTAAAAAATAATAAGTGCTGTAAAGAGCTAATTCCTCCTGACCTAATATTCAACTTTATTCCAACCAGTAGGTGCAGGCTTTACAAGACAGGCCCAGAGCTTGGAGCTGGGTGAAAAGCACTCAGAGAAGAAGAAAATGGTTAAATCAGGGTGCCTGGGTGGCTCAGTCGGTTAAGCGTCCAGCTTTGGCTCAGGTCATGATCTCACTGTTCATGGGTTCGAGTCCTGCGTCGGCCTCTGTGTTGACAGCTAGCTCAGAGCCTGAAGCCTATTTTGGATTCTGGGTCTCCCTCCCTCTCTGACCCTCCCCTGCTCGCTCACTCCCTCTCTCTCTCTCTCTCTCTCTCTCTCAGAAATAAATAAAAACATAAAAATTTTGTTTTTTAAAAAAAAGGTTAAATCAAGTGAAGACAAGAGAAACACTTGCCTTCTTTATTGCAGGGTTGGTTTGCATTTCCCGAATGGCGGCCATCACATACCCACTCAACCTTTTCAGTCCACAGCCTTGAGCAGAGTTATTGAACATGGATTCCAGCATAGTCCGATGAAATTTGGTTCATGACTCTGTTCTCTGTCTTGAGCCCTGCTCTCACTAATTCTTTGGAAAAACCAAAACCAAAACCTCAGTGTATATTTTCACTCTTCTGGGCAGCTGAGAAAACAAGCAAAGAGGCAGCAAATCCAGGTAGAGCGGGCTGCGTGTGAGTAGAGAAGCGACTGGATTCTGTAAGTATGTAAGTAAGGATTGCCCCCGGTGGGGGCACGATCTGGGTGGACCCCTGCCACCTGCAGTAATGATGTCGAGAACAAGGAGGGACAACCTACAGTGTTTTGATCAAAGCCTGTAGCACTCCGTGCAAATGCTTTGCCCTCAAGTGAAATGAGTCCTACGGTCCACATGCCGTCAGCCTCTGGAGATCATTTACTGCTGTCAGAGCAGATGGTCTGAGGATGCAAATGCAGTTCTTGTGTGAGGACATGCAGGCCTGCGTGCACGTGCACACCCGCGTGCACACCCACGTGCACACCCACACACAGGCACCAAGGCACCATATGGCTCTGCCTGTTGACCTTTGAAACATCAAGCTACCAAAATATATATGCTTATTTTAGGGGCAAGTCTCATCTGCTTGACTTCTAATGAGAACTATGATCACACTCCAAAGTCTGTTTGAACTTCTGGTTTGATCCTGAGCCCAGTTTCGTGTGTTTACTACAACCTGAATGTCCTCAATAGCCTGAAAACTTTGTCCCCGGAAGATGTTCTGCTTACATCCTGAGAGGCAATAAAATACAGCTCAATCCTGTCCTTCCCGACATCCTCCTAAAGCACGTGCGCTCACCGGCTCGTGGCTGTGAGTTCACAGCAAACCCGAGATGGCTGTAGTGCAGCAGGATGAGTCGGCTCTCCAAGACCCAGGCAATGAAGACGCACTGAGCCCTGGCAGAAGCAGGGGGGAGCTTTACTAGACTAACGCAGCTGGGCCAGGCTAATAGATGGATGATTTTCGTGACATTGAGGCAGCGTAAATCTCAGAGTCAAAAGGAAAACAGAGGTTCGTGCCATTTCATTCACTTATTACAAATGATCCCGGGGCTTCGCTTCAGTTATTCGGCAAAAATTTGCAGAACGTTCAAAAAGAACGAGGAATTCCCAGGCCCTGTGAGGGTAGCCGGGTGCCTCGCGGTGAGCTCCCCCCGGAAGGGCCCACGTGGCAGGGAACCGGCCAGGAGGAGCTGGGTCCAGCCAGCAGTACCGGGCCTACAAGCGCCCCCTCCCTGAGGTAACCTGAGGTGACTGCAGTCCGGGCTGAAGATTTGATCACAGCCTTGTGAGGATCCGGAAGCCACGGAAAACCAAAACAGTGATGCGTGACTTCCTACCCCACCGAACCTGAGACCATACATGTGTGTTATCTGAAGCTGCAAAGCTTTCGTGAATTCGTTATGCAGACATAAATAACTCATATAGGGGGGAAATAATCTCTGTCTTTGAATCTCTCTCTCTTTTTCCTATACCTGCATATCACCATATAATGACTTAGAAGAAAAGTCATAGAGGATAAAGGGGGCCACCTGGGAGCAGGGAGTTCCAGGGAGCAGCCGGATGAGGTGGTGTTACAATTTTGTACAGAGGGGTCAGGGACAGCCACCAGGATAATGAGGTAGTTGAGCCAAAGCCTGAAGGAGGAAGAGGGAGCCTGCAGTATGGATTGTGGGGCCACCACGTGCGAGATAAAGAAGGCCTCACAAGGTAACACTTTGGACAGTGGTGTGTAGGATTTATTAGAGGGAGTGCAGGAGGCCAGTGTGGCTACCCGGCAAGAATGGTGTGGAAGGGGGTGGTCAGAAAAGCAGTGGGGAGACCGAACATATCAGACTTTAGACGATATGGTAAGGCCATTGGATTTAGTACTGAGTAAACTGGAAAACTTTTGAAGAGATTTAAGCAAAGGAATGACATTACCTGAATTATATTAACATATATATGTAACGGACTGCTTTATAACGTGGTCTATAGGAAGGCAAGGGTGGAAGCAAAGATATTAGTCAGGAGGCCATTATAACCATCTCGGTTAGAAATGATGGGGGTGGTTCAGATCAGAGAGACAGCAGGTGGTAGGGGTAAAACTAAGTATATTTCAAAGGTAGAGAAGACATGATTTATGGATGGATTCAATGTAGGTGGGAAAGCAAGAGGAGTCAAGAATGACCTAAATGCCTCGGTCTGAACATTTTTAAGTTACATTTCCACTTACTCTGTTGGAGAAGACTCCTTCAAGAGTAGGATTTGTGAGGGGGGGGGGTTGAGTGTTGTGCAGTCAGGAAGTTTTATTTTTATCTATAAAGTTTAAGTGTTACTTTGTAGACATCCGTGTAAAGACAAAGCAAATAAGCTTTGGGGTGTCTGCGTTTAGAAGTCAGGGAATTGAGGCTGAGGCTCTACATTTGGAAACTCTCAGGATATAGACACTATTATGAGGCGAGTCCCTGCACTGCATGATTTTAAGAGGTACTGCTTTCTTTTGCTTCCTCAGAACCTTATTCATACTGGATATTTTGAGGATTAGGACACTGGATTATGAAAGACGGTCACCCATGTGAGACTGGATGATTCAACTCAGGTGTTAATGATAGAAAAGAAGGAAAAAGGCCTATAGACTGGACCCTGGGAAGCTGAGCAATGGATCTATGGGAGCAAAAAAAGACAGCAACGGAGGCTCAAAAGAGGAAGCCAGCAATGCAGGCCAGATGCATCAGGGGAGCCTGGTAAAGAAGTTGTGTCAGGAAGCCCAGAATAAGCGACTGTGTCAAATGCTTTGGGAAGAATGAATATGATTCATATAATCACTGTACTGATTGACCGGACAACGTGGAGATATGTTTGTATGCTGGTAGGAACAATCCAGCAGAGACAGGAGAAAATCGGGTGTGCAGAAGGAGAGCCAGACTGTCAGAGGGAGAGCCTTGAGTGTAGGAAAAGTGAGGTGCTGAATCCATCGCACCGACATGGTGATGGGCGCTGGAGGAGAAAGCAGGGTGTTCATCCACAGGAAAAGGAGTGACCGCGTGGTAGGCTTAATCCTTGCAGGTAGACATGTGGTTGTGGGGAGCTTGTGGGATTTCCTTTTTGATTGTGACTATTTCCTCAGTGAAACGGAAAGCGTGGCTATCGAGAGGGAGGGAGGAAGGGGGTGCAGGGCGTGTGTGGAGACATAGGCAGGTGTCAAATCGCCATCTCCGATAGGGGAAAAGTGGCTGGGCTCCTGGCTGCGCGGCTCCATCGAGCACCGGACCCACCTGTGCTCATCCGGCCTCATTCAGGGTCCCCGTGCGAAGTGACGCCAGTGCGCAGGAGTGTGTGTTTTTCTGCCATGTCTCCACTGTCCTGAAGCAAGTGTAGGTTAGATGGAAAGTGGGGTTCAACCAGGGGGTGGGGCTTCTGCCAAGCAAATGTAACAACCTAGAGAGGACCACGGGTGGGGATGGAAGCTGTGTAAGGACAGAAACGGGACAGAAAGATGCAGGAGAGTGAAAGAGTAGAGGCACTGATGGATTGCAGATTCATAGAGAAAGCAGAGGGGCAAAGCTTGCTGGGGTGGTGGCAGTGGAAGGAGTAAGCGGAAGCGGTGGAAGATGGAGTTTAGCGGGCGGGACCCAGGCTGTAGAGCCAGGAAGCCCCTTCTCCATGGTGTTCTCTTCCCTGAGGAAGGACAGGTCAAACCTGTGGGCCTAGAAGACACATCTCATAGTTACATGCACAGCAAGAGTTGGACAGATGTGTAGGGGGGCATTACAATAGCAATGGTGATTTTTTTTGACAAAATGTTTAAGCTGCATTGTTTTATAGTTATCTCATTATTTGAGAGTCTTCCTTAATAATTACTCTCTGAAAAAGGCAAAGATAGATTTCTTTCCATAGAGCAGCTGGTCTGTTGTCAGTTGTTCAAATATCATTTGCCAGCTGGTAATGAGACAAAGAAAATTGTGCTGCCTGGGTGTGCGACGACATCTTACACCTGCAGGCTATGTGTTCAGCCGGATCGGTAGATGGGCACGTACTTGGGATTGGGCACCCCGTTCCCTGCTCTGACAATTCTTCCACTGCAGGCTTTTGGAAAACTCTGTGAGTCAAGCACATATTTAATGCCCATAGGAAAATATGATTGAAAGGAAACTTGAAAGTCATCCCTTTATTAAGTAGAAAAACTGTATTTCACAAATGATCATGCTGTGGGATAATTTATAACTCTACTTTCAATGTCAGCATTTGAACATAATGTTAGTAAATCATAAAGTTAAAAGAAAACATACATAACTTCTCTCCTGATTTCTCATCCCATAAAGATTGCTAACTGATCTCAATTGTCTAAGTAGTTTCAGATATTGTTTTTGAGATAAGGCTGTCCAGAGGAAAAGGATTTTTATTACTGGCTCCTATTTCAGTTACTAGCTCTCTGAAAGTTAGGATATAAATGCCTGGGGGACATAAAGTCTTCCTCAAGTTCCAGGCTTACTCTACCCACATTTAGAACCATGTAGATTTAAATAAAAGATGTTTATTTTACATGACAGATAACCTTATTATCGAAAGTTCTGTTGACCTTTTCTTTTCCTATCCTCCTA